CTAAACATCTTCAGTTCCCTAGAATGTTTGGATGGCCTCAGACATAAGGCATTTCATATAGGCTGGCAATTACAAATAAATGAGATTGACAGAATCCAGTTTGTCCCAATTTAATATGTAGGAATGCTTATGAGAGCTCAGGCCCCTTTATCTCCTCTCTGACCTAGTCATATTCTCTCCATCTCAAAAACAGATTTCAAAGACAAATTCCCTTTTTGCCAACTATCTAGAAATACTCATGGATTCAATTACCAAGTATCACTTGCAATGTAATTACCACATGACTACATTGTCTTTTCTGATGCTAGGAAAAAAAATCTGAATTGTGAGGGCAACATCAGATTTATGAAAAATTTAAATACCTCAAACTTGCAGATGTGTTTCATGCTGAATTAATATTTTTTTCTGACTTCTTTTGTTGATAGCTTCTATATTCTATGGGAAGTTTCTGATTAACCATTTCCTTCTCAGGATCTTTCTTATTTTTTTAATTGCTTTTACTTTTTAATACATGACAGAGAATGCATCACAATTCTTATTACACATATAGAACACAATTTTTTTCATATTTATGTTTATATATAAAGTATGTTCACACAAATTCATGTCTTCATACATGTACTTTGGATGATGATGTCCATCACATTCTACCATCATTGTTAACTACCTGCCCCCTCCCTTTTCCTCCCACCCCTCTTCCCTATCTAAAGTTCCTCTATTCCTCCCATGCTCTCTCTCCCTACCCCACTATGAGTCAGTCACTTTATTTCAGAGAAGACATTCACCCTAACCTAAATAGACATGTGGTCATAAATACAGTTATCTCATACTATACAAAGATGCCAAAAACACATATTGGAGAACAGATAGCCTCTTCAACAAATAGTGCTGGGAAAACTGGAAATCCATATGCAGCAAAATGAAACTAAACCCGTCTCTCACCATGCACAAAAATCAACTCAAAGTGGATCAAGGACCTAGGAATTACACAGAGACCCTAAGCCTAATAGAAGAAAAAGTAGGCCTAAATCTTCATCATGTCGGATTAAGCCCCGACTTTCTTAACAAGACTCCTAAAGCACAAGAAATAAAATCAGGAATCAATAAATGGGATGGATTCAAACTAAAAAGCTTCTTCTCAGGAAAAAAAAATAATCAATGAAATTAATAGAGAACCAACATTTGGGGAGCAAATTTTTGCCACACACATGTGAGACAGAGCACTAATCTCCAAGATATATAAAAAACTAAAAATCTTAACACCAAAAAAACAAACAACCTGATCAATAACTGGGCTAAGGAGTAGAACAGACACTTCTCAGAAGAAGATATACAACTGATCAACAAATATATGAAAAAATGTTTAAATCTCTAGTAATTAAAGAATTGAAAATCAAAACTATGATTTCATCTCACTCCAATCAGAATGGCAGTTATCAAGAATGCAATCAACGATGATAAGTGTTGGCAAAGATACGGGAGAAAGGCACACACATACATTGCTGGTAGGACTGCAAATTGATGCATGCAGCCAATCTGGAAAACCGTATGGAAATTCCTTAGAAAACTTGGAATGGAACCACCATTTGATCCAGCTATCCCACTCCTTGGTCCATACCCTAAAGACTTAAAAAAAAACAGCATACTACAGTAATGCAGCCACATCAATGTTCGTAGCAGCACAATTCACAATAGCCAAACTGTGGAACCAATCTAGATGCCCTTCAATATATGAATGGATAAAGAAACTGTGGTACATATACACAATGGAATATTACTCAGCAATAAAAGAGAATAAAATTATTCATTTTCAGGTAAATGGATGGGGTTTTAGAAAATATCATGCTAAGCGAATTAAGTCCAAAAAAATCAGAGGCCAAATGTTTTCTCTGATAAGTGGATGCTAATTCATAATTGTGGGGGGCATGGAAAGGATGGAGAAACTTTGGATGGGGCAAAGAGAAGTGGCAGGGGGGGCATGAGGGTAAGAAAGATGGTGGAATGAAATGGATATCATTACCCTAGTATGATTGCACAAGTGGTATGACCCTACTTTGGTACAACCAGAGAAGTGAAAAATTGTGCTCATTTGTATACAATGAATCAAAGAGCATTCTGCTGTCACGTATAACTGATTAGAAAAAAATAAATTTAAAAAGAATTTTAAAATAGATAAAATAAAGTAAAGGTATTGTGTCCATCTACAACTTAAAAAAAAATCCATGCAGCACAGATAGGAGTAAGTTGTATATAAGAACTCCATAAAACCTGTTAAGATCTCAGGGTCTTATTTTCTTCCTATCCTCCTTATATCAGAAGAAGATAATTTCTACCATTAGTAATAAATGTCACATGGAATTTGAAAATGGCTTCTCAAGAGTATTTTGATGTCTTCATTCTGTTTTCTCCTAAATATACAGATTGATTATAAGATCTTCATTCAATTTTAAAATAGTATTGAAGATTAGTGGTGAGAAGGAAAACACTACCACATTAAAAGAATCCATCAGCTTCATGACATGTCCCAAATACTCTACGTCCCAAATTTTATAGTATAAGCAGGCAAAGCAATTTCATTTCTAAAAGTTATCATTCCAATTTTGGGTAAGTTAATTGGTTCATCATTAAGAAGTACACCTTCTGTCATTCACAAAAAGTGAATCAACAAAATTTATGCCTTAACAACAATACCTGAAGTATAAACAGCTGCCACTGAATAGAATACTAACAAACATATAAACATAAAGTACATCTACTAGTAAACCTTAAAACCTCTGTTTTAACCCCACATGTGCAGTTTGCCATAATTCCTAGGGTACTACAACAGCTTCAGACAAAAGACTTTACAGTTAGTGCACTGATCCTCCTTCCAATGGCCCTTCTTAGTGTCTCCAGAAAAGTACTTCAGGAAGGTAGGAGAAAGCTGAAGTTGACAGGGAAGCAAAGTTGTCAAGGTGAACTAGAAACTGTACCCTGGAAGTAGAGATTCTAGTAAGAAAACAATAAAGTTTTTATTTAATAAAAAGAATAATAAAAAATAATAATAAATAATAAAATAGTAATAATAAAAAACAATAAACAGAGGACTTTAAAAGAAAACACAACATTATTTGTAAGGCTTTAGCCTTACAAATAATGGTGCTAAATTCTTGGAGACTTTAAGTTAAGTCTATACTTACTGAGTAAATAGGTACCCTTTGTAGTTGTGTACTCTTAATTCTCTAAAATCATATTCTCGTTCTTTGAAATGAATTGCTCTTTCAGTTGAATATTTAATAGAGTTGACATATGAAACAAAAGGACTTACGCAAAAAAGGTCTGGACTGTCTGTATAGCTTACAATCTGTAAAGCAAGTGATATGAAATTAGAGCACAGAGACCCCCTACAAAACATACAATATGCCCTCCAACTTTTCTCACTGGAAAACCATATTAGTTGAAGCATAAATAAAAGCCAACACACTCTGCTAATGACAGGGACCAAATGTTTGAACCTACTGAGTATGAGCTTCACAATTAGGTTATGACAATGGAGTAAAGGTTAAGAGAAAGTTATGAGTACAATAAAGCACGTGAAAAAGAGCTAGCTTAAAAAATAATAAATAAAATAATAATAATAAATAAAATAATATTTTATTTTATTATTCTTCTATATCTCCAATACTGTATGTAGGAAACTATCTTAAACACAGCACAAATTAGGTGCCTGATGGCTACGACGCCTCGTGAGGTTTTAAATTTAACACATTTTTGAGCCAATCCCAATCCCAGGGCTCCACATTCTCCAATATGGGAACTAAAGAGGCTCCACCTTGGAGGGAAAATAGCACCCATTTCAGTACTCTCAAAATGTTGGCTGCTGTCTATTCCAGATGTGGTGTACGCCTGCCAAGCGAACGAAGTTATGACGCGTCAACTTCCTGGAACCCACTGAAAGGGAGTGAGCACGTGAACCACACACAGGCCGAGGGGGTAGGGCCGGGGCTTCCGCAGCTGGAGCAAAGACTAGGCCCTAGGTGCCATGAAGGGAGTGCTCTGCTGCGTGTCCTGGAGGTTAAACAGTTAAAACTTTAAGAACCTCCATTGTTATCACTGCCTGAATCTGAACAGCCTGCTGGCTGTGCAGTTACAGGGAACCAGGAATCTATGGCCAGTGTCCCGGGCCTGCCAGTGCCCCTCACGACCCACCCAGCCGGCCGAGGTCAGGATGAGGGCAGCTATAGCCGCGCCTCCTCAGGGTCTGGCCTGTCCTTCTCGGGCCATGCCTGACCCACTCACCAAGGGTTCCCGATGGCCTCTATAGCTTTTCAACAAACAGAAGTCAAGATCCTCACAGATCAAACCCTTAAGTGTTAACAACCAAAATGGCTGTCCCGGAAGTACGTCATGATGCCAGCCAACCTGTACCATCCCTGTTATTCTCCGTAGGAATCTTGGAGGACCCCACATCTTATGGTTCCCTCCTTCTGGTTCCGAGACAAGTCTAGGAAGCGGGGGAGCAGGAGAAGGGAGGGAGCTCCTGTGTTCTTCCTGGAACCAGATTCAGAGTTCAGAGGCACCTGGACCCTCACCTGGGTCCCGCTCATTGACCAACAGAGCACCGCAGAAAGGAGGAGGGCGCAAGGAGAGGGGCCATTTATTCCGTTGCACAGCAAGTTAGGGGGTGAGGCCCAAGTGGACTATTGTCCCCGTGATGGCCCTAGCCTCTTTTCTGCCCAAGCTGGTGTAACCCCTTGCACTGCTGTTTTCCCTCCTTCTGTGGATGCCTCCCATCAAGGCCTAGAAGAAAAATCAGAGGCCTGGCAAATCTGGACAGGAGTGAATTTATTAGGAAGGTATTGAGCAACATTGCCTGTCTCCCAGGACATCTTCGGCGTCTGGTCTGCTCAAAATAAAGAAACTTTGGAAAGGTTTGCTGAATGAGTGAACTAAAGTCGAGGATAGACTTAGCGACCTTATTATGCACCCAGAAGATGCTCAGGGTGTCAAAAATGCAGTGCTTTTTTGTCTTGTGTTGGAAGACCAAGAATAAAGGAGGAAGCAAGCAGCCTTGCATATAACTTTTTTTTTTTTTTAACCTGATTTAGACTTGCTTCCCTGGCTTGCTTTTCCAGATGTCCTCACTTGTCTTGCTCCTCTAGCCACTATGATATCCCACACGGAGTTCAAAGCTTACAGCTCTCTCTTTCACTCATGCTCAATTGCTGTTCCCTAAAAACAACCACTCTGCCAAAAGGCCAGAGCCCAAGAGGAGCATCCACCCTCAGCCATACACGACTGAAGCCAACACTTCCCCAGGACCCAGTGGGCCTTTTGTGGGACCTGGGTCAACCCTTTCATGGTAATTTTGTCTCAAGTCCTCAGTGGTTGGCTTCTTATAGGAACTTCACTGATCACCTCCAAAAGACCTTTAAATATGGCAGAGCAGGAATTAGGATCTCACTCTCTTCTCATCATACAATATATGGTCGGGTAGGTAGAATGAGGAAAAATCAAAAGAATCTATTCCAGAGTGGTTGGTATAATATGCATATAGAACAGCTATTTAATTTCAGCAAACGTTGTAATCTCTAATAGTAAGTTGATTGAGTTTGAAAATTGTTGAATTTGAAGTTTCCATTGTGATTGTGTAATAACTTATAAACATAAGGAATTTATATCAAGTTTTAAGGGTACACATATTTAAGTACATTTTTTACACATTTGAAAATTTCTAAAAAAAAAAAGAAAATTTCTTACATATCCAGTTGCTTTAAATATAACCTAAATGAGCATTTGTTTAGCCATTTAGAAGCTTCCTGCTGTGCATAATCCATGAAAAATGCACCTAACATTTGTTAGTCATAGATAAGACAAACCCACCCTACAGCTATATAAGACCTCCAAAGCACTGCTGCCTTTCAGAGCTCATTGACCCCCACCTTACTGCTGAGCAACATTGCTTAGACATGTAAACACTGTCTTTCCTTATTTCCCCTCTCTCCCAAGAATTCCCTTGCTCTCCTTCTCTTCTGAGTGGTGGCCTCATAGTCTCTGGAAAGTTTCTGTAAAGAACATTCCCTTTTACACAATCCTGTGGAAGAGCTGCCTAATAAAACTTGTGCAACACTGCCATCTTATGGTCCTTGATTGCCCTTGAAATCTTCAAATTCTTCACTGCATTGAAACAACATGGATCTCTTGTGACACTTGGTTCCCTCATACCATTTATTTAAAGCTAGTTACATTACTCATGACATTGCATCGTCATACTATCTATGAATATTTGCTTCCAATGACTATCTTAAAGTTTGTTAAAATGGCTACAAATACAAGGTTTACCCAGAATATGCAGGAAAATGTAAATGGTAAATTCTTTTTCTGGTCATGTTAAAATTACCATGACTGTTGTCCCATTATCAATGAATCACACTTTGTACAACTATGATTTCTCTTGAGTTGCAATAATCATTGCATTCTTAGAATATACCTTTTTAGTACTTCTCGAACCTTTTCCTTTCAAACCAACCACCAGCAGAGAAGATAAGCAATAGACCCATGGGTGGGGCAGTTCAATTCATCCAAGAAATATCCATCTCCCATCCAGCAGTTTAAGAATGACCCAGGACACCATAGCATCATTGCATCAATAAGAGGTTAAGAAATGACATCTATCAGTAAATTCTGCTGAAAGCCCCCAGAGGTGATAAGGTGAGGTCACGCCCAGGGAACCTCCTGATGTTGTTCAGAGACCATGGAGCAGGTAGAGTGAGTGTGCTAGATACCAAGAGTGAGGACTGCAGAAGAGAAGATTTTGCTATCACAACCATTGTCCTTGGGTGTTGTAGATGACAGAGAGCATTAAAGTAGGAACACAAGTGAGCAAGAGCTGACATAAGGGTTCCCACATGCAACTAAGACCTAAGGGTTGGCAGCGGACCTTTAGCAATCCAGACCCCTGAATTCACACTGTGCCTGACATGAGTGAGAGTCACCCAAAATCATTGTTGGCACCTTTGTGGTGTCCTTCGGGATTCTTGGTCAACTTCCCACTGGAGAAAAGGTCACAAAGTGTCCCAGAGGGAAGAAATATGGAGAAGGGCCCACTTAAGTTACAGTCTGTTTTTGGAAGCCCCCTGCCCTATTTGATAGTATAATTAGGCTCAGCCACACCCAGGCAACTGTAGGCGACTTAAAAATATAGAGGAAGACCTCCAAAATTCAGAACCCCTTGAGGCACAGGTCCTGGGTCATACTGTTTTCAGCCTAGGTCTAAGTGTGATAGTGGGCATGCATTTAAGTGCTTAGACAGAGAGCTGAATAATCCTGACACGTAGGAACACTTAGAGTTAAAAATAGGGACAAGGGCTGGGGCTATAGCTCAGTTGGTAGAATGCTTGCCTCGCATGCACAAGGCCCTGGGTTCAATCCCCAGCACCACAACAAAAGAGGTGAGGGGAATTGGAAGGAAAAAAAATCTCCCAGAAACAAAGAGGTAAAAACAAAAAAGGTAATAAAATTAGAGGGCAAGTCTAGGATGCCCAGAATAGTAGGGTTAAAAAAAAAAATAGGGACAAGACTGCATCCCTAGGACACAAGAATGGATTCTTCAGGGAGAAGGGCTTAAAGTTAAGTTGATCACCAACTGTAGGGCATAACTTGCTGCCCACTTCATGGTCTTGGGGCCACCCATGTGGCTGGGATGGCGCCTGGCGATCAGCCAGGAGGCGGTGCTGTGAGTGGTGATGGAAAAGGCGGACCACCTCCAGGACAGGTCCAGGACTCTTCTGCCCTCGGGGACAGTTCGTGCCTTCCCTTATGGACTATGGGATGGGTGTACACGTGAACTCGCTCCACCCCTCTGACGTTTATCCTGATTGGCTCCTGTGCAGAATATAAGCTGTATGTACTTCCTCAATAAACAAGATCCTGCTTTGACTCTTCTCCCTGGAGTGTCTGCAAGGGAGGGCTGGTTGTGGGCCGCTAGTCAACCTTTACCTTTCTTGGCTCATCCTGGTCGGGGCGTGCTTTCCCAGGTTCTCCCACTGGTGTGGGGGTGGGGCTGAAAACCCCCGACATCCAACAGCTAAGAATTTAATCAATAATGCCTATGTAATGAAGCCCCATTAAAACTAAAAAGTTCAGGGTCCAGACAGCTTCTGGAATGCTGAGCATATAGAAGTACTTATCCAGGAATCTTCTCATCCTTATCATTATACCTTGGCCTGTGCATCTCTTTCATCCAGCCATTTATCTATTTTGTAGTTTTGTTTTCTTGGGTTTTGGGAAATGGAACCTAGGGCTTTGTACATACTAAGCAAGTGCTCTACTTTTGAGCTATATCCCCAGTTTTTACTGTAGGCCTCTAATTTGCAATTCTCCTATCTCAGACTCAAATAGCTGGGAATTTTGTAATAACCTTTAAAATAAAGTGGTAAACATGTGTCCTTGACTTCCAAGATGTCCTTGCAAATTAATGAAACCTAAGAAGAAAAAACGTGAACCCTGATTCAGAGCCACTCGGCCAGAAGTATAGGTGATAACCCATTGTCATTGATGTCTGAAGTAGGAGGCAGTCTTAAGGGACTACACCCTTAACCTGTGGGATCTGATTCTATTCCAGGCAGCATCCTCTGCATTTTGGTATATTTAGCATCATCTTTGACCTTTACCCAATAGATGCCAGAAGCAGGCCACCACCAATTGTGACAACAAAAAATGTCTGAAAAATGCCAAATGTCCCTTTGATAGGGAAGCAAAATTACCTCCCATTGAGAACCACTGGCCTATACAAATACATCCACTCATTCTATGAAAGAGAAAGACATGATTGAGAATTTGAAAGAAAAGGAGGGTTGAAGTTAACCTAAGGGGAGATGGAAGGGAGAGAGAACCAAATCATAGATTAAACAAATTAGCAATACAGTTTTGAATATGTACCTAAGAAATTTGGATTTTGTTTTACAAGTAACAGAAAACCATTAAAGGATTTTTAGAAAGGGAGTGATACGATTAGATTGCCATTTTAAGAATGGCAATTCTTATACATATGGAGAAAGTAGCATCCTGGGAGTCAAGGGAAGACATTTTCAGGGTGTGTAAGTGATCAACAGAGAAAAAGACCATAGAGAAGGTGGAGCCAAAGAAGCCAGTTGTGCTAGTAATCTTAGCTTAGGGAGTTTAGTGGAAGTGGAAGTCAATCTCTATGGGTTAAGAAATGAGGGGTAGAAAAGAAATGTAGAAGAAGTATAGCTAACAACTAGTCCAAAGAACAACTCCACTTTGAGGGGCAGGAGGAGCATGTGGACCCAATGTAGGTGGAGTTAGCATTAAGGCTTTATGGACAGATGTATATGCTCTGCGTTGATTTTCAATGTCTATATTTACATCATCACTCATGCTTCCTTCCAGTATTTCGGTCACTTTTTTCAGAATGCCTTTTATCTTATGTATCCTGGCTTGTTTATTTTTAATCTCATTAACCATAAATTTCCAGCATGCACACCTCCCTCTTTTTCTCATGCCCATTCATACAGATTGGCATGTTTTCAAAGGAACATCAGGTAATCTGATCTGCCACACCTAGGGCAGATATTTCAGGGAGCTCAGCTCTATTTGTATGAAGATTTCTTCAGCCTCCTAGAAAAATAATAATGTATATTTGAGGCCTGGCAGTTAGATTCCATGCATTCAGAATTAATAATTTCTCAAATCAGAAGGAGGCAGAACCAAAAACTATGTCAGTCTCCCAGAATACTCCTGATGGGCAGAAAACTCATTCCAAGATAAAAGAAACCTATAGAGGAGGACACTTCCCAAGACTCCACTTGCTTTCTAATTAACAAACTTACTTTCTGATTTCTTCTTACGCAACAATTCTTTCTTCTTTCTTTTTACTAGCAATAGAATTAAAATACATTTGTTATATATCACCTGAAAACAAATGAATAAATTTTTACTAAATTTAGTGGGTACAATATGGTAAAAATCAGAAGGAACTGGGTCTCAAGCTCCATTCATGCTGGATACTATAGTTCTGATTGGACTGGACATGCTGGAATGAGGGTGGGCTGAGAAACACCACTGCTCAACTCTAACGTGTGTATCACTTGAACCAGACACAGACAGCCTTTCTTTAGGGGAAAAAATATGAAGAAAAAATGATTAAAGCCAGTTTTTTTTTCTTTTTTGTTGCTAAAATAAGAAAGTAACTTTTCACTCTATAAAGCAACTTTCAACTCAACCACAGAAATGACTTTGAGCCGTATAGGCTCTGTCACGAGGTATGAACTCAGCAATAATAACTAAGTACCTAGTAGATCTCAACCTAACACCTTGTTATTCCACAATGATCTGACTTAACATAGAAGTGAATGTGGTTTAAAAAAATTACATAGAGCAAGTTAGGAAGATAGGAAGATAGGAAGCTATGTACTAAAGGATCTGGGAATGAGTTTGTTTTCATCAAGTTTGGAAGGAATGTTATGGAGTGACTTAAAAGATCAGTTAGGTGGTATTTATGAAATCAACTTTAGGACACAAAAGTCACCTTAGTCACTCAACCTCTGTGCAACTGAGATAAAAATAAGTAGCTTGTATTACTACTAAAAAAAGGGGGGGATGCAATAGTAAGGGGCTGTATGATAAAACAGAGCTTACAAATAAAAGTCTGTTACAAATGACAGAAAACTCAATCTAACTAGCTATTTATTTATTTATTCTTTACTTTTAGATGGACACCATATCTTTATTTTACATTTATGTGGTGCTGAGGATCGAACCCAGTGCCTCGTGCATGCTAGGTGAGCACTCTACCACTGAGCCACAACCCCAGCCCCTCAATCTATCTAGTTTAACAAAATATTTTATCAGCTCATATAGCTAAAAAGTTTAGAAGTAGGTCTGCTTCAGGCCATGCTTGACCTAGTGGCTCAAACGATGTTGGCAAGGAACTAGTTTCCCCGTTTTGCCACTGTTCTCTTTGGCATTAGCTTTATCCACAGGCTCTACGAGGTATCATCTGGAAGTTTTAGATCTCCCCTTTTCATAGAAAAAAAATAGTTCCTAGGGTCCCAGGCCTAACATTTTCTTACATGACACACAAGGGACAGGGAATATCTCTTTTGGTAGCTTTCAAAGATAAAAAAGTCATTCTTCCAGAAGACTCAGTAAATATCTCATGCCACACTAGCTTTGTGGCCAAAGGGATGGGAAAGCTGACTTGACAAGCTAAACAGGGTTGTGACATGAAACTCATGAAACTGTGGGTGGATCCAAACCACCTAGCTGAGAACGGATACCTTCCCAAAGAATATTTGGGTTACTCTTGCCAGAAAGGAGTTGAACAGATGATAGAAAACAAGTCAGAGATGACAATTTCAGAGTCCTAACTGAAAGCCTCAAAGGCAGATGCTCAGAATTGCAGGCATGAATTTGCAATTGAGTTGCTTCTAACACAGGATACTTTTAACTGGCTACAGCTTGCAATATAGCAGGGACTTATTCATTCCCCTAGGGAATTCTGGATAGGTTAGCTACTTTTCAGTATTTAATTCCCTACATCCACATTTTCTAATCCTATGTTTTTTTTTAAATTGAAGACAAAATTTTACCATAATCAATTTTCTGCTTTTAATATATTATTATTGTAACTTATCAGAAAATGTTAATTTCCACTGTTTATCTTTCTCCAAAATTTAGAAACTAAGTATTAATTTTTTTATCTTCTGACTTTTACATGTTTAGAAAGTGTCATTAAAAATTACATCTTTCATGCTATGATTCCTATATAGTCTATGATAGGAACTTAGGGCTTCTAAGTCCTGCCTATAGGCAGACCTCTGGTAAGGAAAAAAACAGTTGGAACTCTCCTAGTAGGGGCCACCCATTTCCACCTGCATCTTCTTAATCCTTTAGAATACCTATCTTTTGCTGTATTTGGTACTTCTCGTTATGTTACTTATGAATCTTGCCACCCAACCACTCAACCTACAAACATTTCCATCTTTGAGAAATGGCATTCCTAGGGTGGATCACCTTCCCTGATGCTCCTTGGTAGGTCCAAACTGTTCCTTCTCTTTCATGATTCTACTTCCTCAGGCTTCTGATGTGTAAACTCTCTTTCCAATTTTTAAGATACTGACCTCATCCAGCACATATTCATCATTCTGATTTTGGGAGCTTATGAATATTTAGGCTTTCGACCATCACCTTCTAGCAGCCCTTGTCCTTGTTTCAACCCTATTTCAACAGCTGCCTGTAGTGTTGTCAACACCTCAGGGCTGCCCTTTCTTAGCATGCCTTGCTGGTACCTCCCTCTATCCAGCTCCCTAAATACTGAATTGATATTCCATAGTTCTCTATCCTGGGGTCTTGGTACCTTGCTACATCTTGAAGGCAGCACTGTGTAGAACTTTCTGCAATGATGGAAATCTTCTAAATCTATGCTACATAATAAGATGGCTACATATGGTATGCTTGAAAGGTGGCCACATATGATATGCTTGAAATGTGTCTAAAAGAACTGCATTTGAAATTTTAAATAGCCACATGTGGCTAGTGGCTTCTGTATTGGACAGTACAGCTCTAGATTTCATACATTTCTTCCCATCCTCTAGGGGGTTTTGTTCATTGCTTTCCATCCTTTATGTCTCCTGCTCATTTGATATCTCCCAAATAAACAGCTTTAATCATGGCTAACATGGTATTCTAGCCCATAATATGCAATGGCCAACTTGAACATCTCATCCATATCTCAAATGTGTTAATCCAAAATAAGGGCTATTGACTTCTCCCCTCCCAAGCCTATTCCTCTTCTAGTTTCATCCATTACAATCAATGGCTCACTCACTTTTTCAAATCAGAAAACTACCCCTGACCCCTCCTAGTCCATTACTCCTTGTATTGAATCCACCTGCACATTATGGCTTTATTTCCAAAATACATCCACCTACTTCTGTCTCCACTACCACTAGTCTCTCTGGGCCATCATCCTTTCCAACCTGGGCTACTACAGTCTCCAACATAATCTCTCCTTCCATTCTGGTCCTTTTACAAATCATTTCTATGTAGCAGAGTGACCATCTTAAAGCATGACTCAAAGTATCACTCTTCCATTGGATGGCTTCTTTTCATTCAAAGAAAAACAATATTCTGGCCTAATTCCCTCCAAACCCAATTTGTGCCTTACACCTTTCATTGTTATACCATATCTAAAACTCTTTTGTGTGTGTGTGTGTGTGTGTATGTGTGAATGGTAGTATGTTTATTTGAACCCAGGGCCTTGCAAATGCAAAGCATATGCTCTACACTGAGCTATATCCCCAGCCTCTCTTTTGGTTTCTTGAACATACCAAGCTCCTCATACAGCAGGGAGTCTTCACAGCTGTTCCCTCTGCCTGCTGTTGTTCTTGTTCTTAAGAGGCTCTTTCTCACATTTCTTCCATTCTTGTCCTTTTACAAATCATTTCTATGTAGAAATGATTTCTATGTAGAAAGTGCTGTCTCACATTCTAGGTTTTAATGTTACCTCTTAGGATAGGCCTTCACTGATCACCTATATTAAGTGGGCCCCTCCCATCAGTCCCTCTCAGTACCTTGCTCATTTTCTTCATCACATTAAGACTTTTACTAATTTTGTCTAATTATCCTGAAGGGGTACTCTCTCCCATTAGGTTAAATGTTCCAGGAAGGCAGGAACAGGTCTGACTTATTTAAAAAGCACCTGGCAGAGTGCTTTTCACACAAGTAGTTTCCCAAATAATATTTGCATACAACTTCCCACTGTTCACATCAGTCATTTCCATTTCTTGGTTCCATGTGGTACACAAGTTTTACTGCTTATTAGATGTTACCCAAGCTGGGCTACCCTGGAAAAAGTTCACTTTATTAAATGACATTAGGTTTCAGCAATCAGGAACTCTAAAGTTACCAATATTTATGATTTTTCAGGAAGCAGAAGTTTGGTGCAGGCAGGCCCATGGTTTCTCTTCCTTGCTCCTTGGTCAACAAAACGGGATGCCTCAGCAACAGTGAAGCAAACTGCACCATCCACAAAAAGTGGTTCTACAGGTGAAGAGTCTCGTGTTTCAAATCTGTTTGGATCAACATTCTCCGCTGAACAAGGCCTTTCATCCTCTCAACCTTTAAGTGGTTAGGGCCACTTTCTAATATCCTGCATCTTCACAGTACTGGCAGCTTGTATTCTCCTTCTAAAATGTTGAAATCAGACTCTTGATTTCAAAAGGAGTTAATTTTAGGCTTCCTTACTTTCCTGCATAGAGTCTATGTATTCCTAGTATTTGTTTTCTCTGATTCTGGGCCTAGGAAGAATTTAATTCTGATACCAAGACATTGGGTTATATGGGAATTTTTCAACTGCTAACTGAAGGATGTTACCTAACAGAGCATTAACCACCACCAGAGTAACCACTATCTCCCACCCTTGGTGATGGCCCCATGACTTATTTTAGGATATGGACTATCATGGTGATGAGTAGGGGACAGGCTGGGAGATTTAGGATAATAGAGCAGTAAAGGGTTTTAACTGTACATATTTTTATGAAAAAAAAAATCTTGACAGGGTTTACATTTTCCCAATCCTAGAGTGCTGTCTCATAACATAGGACAATGTGGTCTCTCAGCATTGCACAACATAAACCCCTTTCTGCTGCTTTCCTTAAGTTACCCTGATGACCTCCAGAAGGACCACAACTTCAGAGTAAGGGAAAGTCCTGAAGTTGGCAAATGTGACCCATATCAAATAAGGTTTTCTGTGAGAAAGACTTATGAAAAGCAATATTAAAATTTGCATATACAGGAAATCTCCAAAAAGATTCACAACCTATAAAAGTGATTGCTTCTGGGGAGAACTGGGAGACAAACATTTCACTGAGACCCTTCAGAACTCCTTTTGAAAAAAAAAATCATGAGCATGCTCTATCTAGTATTTAAAAAATAAGCTTAAAACTTGAGAAACAAAAGAAATGCAATATTGGTCTTCAAAGAGTTAATCAGATGGAGTCAAAACTAAGAGACATGATACTGTTTGAAAAACATGAGATAGCATATAATTAGATACTAACTTGGGTGGTACTGGTTACACGTAGAAGAGGAAGAAAGGTCTGCTTAATAAAGTGGTGCTTCATATAAATACAGTAGTACAGAGGATCTAGACTTACTAGAGTGGTATCTGTTCAAGGGAAGGGGCAAGATAATACTGGCTATTACGATTATAGCAAATTGTGGAAGGGAATCTCATTTGTCTCTGGGGCTCCTGTAGCCTATAAATTATAAGCAAGGATCACCAATATGCATCTCTAATGTTCAAGAATGTGAGAGGTCCAACAGTTATAGGGTTTCTCTTTAGCATGGCGCCTTTGGTGCTTAATCAAGACAGAATTCTGACTGAAGGCCTTCCCACAGTCATTACACTTATAGGGTCTTTCCCCAGTATGGATCCTTTGATGTCGGATAAGGTGCGCCTTGCAAATGAAGCTTTTCCCACAGTCAGTACATTCATGAGGCTTCTCTCCAGTGTGGACCCTCTGATGCTGTGCAAGATCAGAGTTCCACATGAAGCCTTTCCCACAATCTTTGCATTCATAAGGCTTCTCCCCAGTGTGGATTCTCTGATGCCTAAGAAGAGCTGGGTTTCGAGTAAAGCTTTTCCCACACTCCTTACACGTGTATGGTTTCTCCCCAGTGTGGATTCGCAGATGTTGTATAAGACTTGTGTTCTGACTAAAGCCCTTCCCACATTCCTTACATTCAAAGGGTTTTTCTCCAGTATGTATTCTCTGATGCCTAATCAGGTTTGACTTCCAAACAAAGGCTTTGGCACATTCTTGACATTCATAGGGTTTCACCCCACTGTGAATTCTCTGATGTGCAATGCAATGAGATCTAAAACTGAAAGCCTTTCCACATTCCTTACATCCATAGACCTTGTCTCCATTATGAGTTCTTTGATGTTGACCAAAGTCTTCATTTTGATCAAAACATTTGCCACATTCTTCACATATGTAGAATATCTGCTCATTTAGAATTTTCTGATGCATCCTGAGGTAGTTACTAACATCAGTATTCTCTGAACCCTCTTCTACTGAGACCATCTCATCCTTGACAATCACTTCTACAATGTCATTTGTAGTGTTTTCCAAATTTCTCCTACTGGAGTAGCTAGGCCATCTCCTTAACCTGCTTTTCTCCTCTTCACAGGTTTTTCCAAAGGAGAACTCCTGGGAGCCATACCACCGGGATCCACTTGATAGCACCATGAGGTCCTGTGCCTCCTCAAAAACTTCCTCTTTCAGAATAAAATCTTCTTTCTCACTCTTCAACATGTTCTCTGAAAGAAGAAATCAGAGCTGCAAATATCATTACCTATAATAATGACAAAGGTCACTAAGTCATATAAATATATTCCTGTCTCTCCAAGGTCACCCCTTGTCTCGATGACCCCATCTTAGCCAAAAATGACAAAAACAGGGCTAACACATGGAAAGCAACCAAAAATAAAAGGTGGACACTAGATAGATTCCTCAGGGACTGTAATTCCACAAAACCAAGCTAAGCCCTAAAACCCCAACCCATGACTACTTAATTAATTGAGCTTATCCTATTAAAATGTGGAAGCTCTGGGCTTCAGTTTCCTCTTAATAAATTGGTTGATATGAAAATTTTGGAAGGTCATTTATTTAGAACATGAATGGCAAAATGGGGGTTTTTTTGGGGAGGGTGTATTGGGGATTGAACTCAGGGGCATTCAAGCACTGAGCCACTTCCTCAGCCCTATTTTCTATTTTATTTAGATTCAGGTCTCACTGAGTTGCTTAGTGCCTCACTTTTGCTGGGGCTGGCTTTGAAATAAAGATACTCCTGCTTCAACCTCCTGAGCTGCTGGGATTACAGGCATGCACCACTGTGCTCAGCCAAAATGAGCTTTAAAAAGAAAAAAAAAGTAAAAAAAAGAAAAGACAGAGGAAACTCTATGACTGAAAGAAAAATGCTCATTTCCTTCTCTCTTACCAGTATAAATTAGGCCTGGACTCTCTACTGGTAGTTTCAAGTTCAGTGGCTCTTCCAGCTGCTCAAGATGGGAGATCCCAGCAGGCTTTACAAATGGATATCCTGCCAGGGGCAAGGTACAAATAAGACTGGCTCAGTTGGAGGAGTGTGACCCATTAGGAATGGAGCAGAAATGGAAGTGGTGGGGGAAGAATTAAGGTAGGTGGAAAGATAGATAACACAAATGACCAGCAATGCAAGGGAGATAGGAATATAACGCATAGAAAACAGTGGTATAGGCAATTCCATCCCTTCCCAATGATATGAAAGCATATCACTCATTGTAAAATGTCAAGAAGAAATAGAAAAGACCAGGTCCTCTTCTATAGGTTGTAAAAAGTTGTAAAAAGTTCACATACAAAAGAATCAGGATAGGATAGAGTTCAGAAGAGCTGTTCCTAAGGACTTTCTGTCTAGGCAGGATATTCTAGGAAACCATAGTCTCTTGGTTTCCTTTCTTCTTTTCCATCTAATACATTTATTCCACAAAGGATCAATGATGGGTCTGTCTGTGACATCCATAAGAAATAATATCACCGCCTCACTAAGCCATTTCTAGAAGTCACTTCTTAGTCTGTGACAGACATCTCTATTCACAAAAGTTCACTCTAGCAATTTTACTTCAGGCTTAACTAACATCTGTCACTGTGTAGTTCTCTCCATAACTGCCTCAGCAACAGGTCAGTTCTACACCTTCAAACGACAATCTTATATATGGCTGAAGCCAAAGACTCTGTGTCCCCTGAGATCATCTTCTCTAAGATGAAAGTGGACTGAGTGAAGACAGATCTACTCCAAGGAAATCTGCTTCAGGTCAAGGAGTTAGAGTTTTGCTCAAGGAATAACTTAGCTGTTGATTTTTTAACTACGGCAAAGAGGATAAATTCGCATAGGTGGAGAGGAAAGGAAGCACTGAGATCCTGAGAAAATGCAGGAGACATTGATTACTCCTTCTACATTCATTCTACACCTCACCATTGTGGAGTAGCTACAACAGACATGGGGAGTGATCCCAACTTCAGCTCCTAGACTAGGCTCTGAAATGGTCTAAGCCAAGCATTCACCATGGAAAACTGGTACAGGGATCAGCAATTCAGCCCAGTCAATCAGTGTACATTATTTCCCTGGTCAAGTGACTGATTAAGGGCTGGCTTATAACTTAAGAAGGTCCATTAGAGCAATACTTGAAACTTTTAATTTTCTCTGGATAAAGCCTAAGGAAGATCTGTCCTATTTTCTTTCCCTAGGTATGAAGAAGCAGAGTCCTGGTTACATCTACCAATCACCTTACAACCACAAGAGAAGCCCAGACTGTAGGCAAAACTAAATACAGGGAGACAGAGCAGTGCTGCAACCCGGCTGGGCACAGAATCACAAGCCACTCAAGCAGGAACAAAAACTTTATTTTTAAAAAGGCCGCCAAATACCCCGCCAGCGCCTGGCTAGCAAGCTGGTCCACACACGTGTGTGCGTCTACCGGAACGGGGCCGGACCTCCCCCAGAAATCCCGCCTACTATCCTTCCCCAACCAATGGGAACTCTCCGGGAGTCCCGTAACACGAGTCCCGTAGCAGGCCAGGTGAACAGCAGGAGTCCAATTTCCATATGAATGTAAATGTTAACATAATCATATCATCTCAAAGGCTAGCTGGCAGTCACCTTAACCAAAGGTGCCATGTATCATAATACTTTTGCTGTGGCTCCTAGCAGAGCAGAAACTGTTAAAGTGTACCTGCAGCTCACTACAGTCCTCCCAGTTTCATAAAACAATAAATTCCTCTTTATTATTTAAGCCAGTTTTAATGGGGTTTAATCAAAAGTATCCTGATATAAAAAAAGACTGCCAGAACAAGAACATGGAGGTTGCAAGCACAGTTCAAGTCTCACTGAGCTGTCGAAGAGCTCTGTGGGAGAAGATGGAAGTTTTCCAGAAAGGCAACAGGGAGACACAGTTCTCACTAGGAGAGCAGGAGAACAAGCTCTTTCTAGGAAAACAAGAAAGATTTGTTTGGAGCAAAAGTAATACCGGGGCTTTCCCTATCAGCAATCCCTGAAGAATAAGAACTATTTGGCTGAGGGTTATTAAGATTCTGTGCTCTTTAATAATAAAGAAGGCCTTCATGTCCCAAAGGGCAGCCAGAATCTTTTGCTGGAAGTCTCTAAGCAGGTCAGGAAAGTAGAAATAGGAGTAATCAGGAAAGTCAGGGAATACATAAATGGTGGTTATGATAATAGCAGAGATGAGGAAGAGGCAAAAAGTTGAATAAAGATGGCTCAGAGGAGTTAGAATGAATAAAACAAGAACTCAAAGAAAACCATGAGAATAGGAGTAAAAAGGAAATCCAACTAGTATCTATGGCGCTAGGTTAAAAGAACACATATCCATTACATTTTTAAAAGACATGATGACTAGCATATGTCCTCACTCACCTGAGGAGATGGCCCTTGGACCCTCTCCATCCAGAGCTCCCCAAGGATCTGAGCACCAGGGTGCTTCCCCTCGCTCCAGCTGGGAAATCAGAGTCGGTTTGGGAAATGGAAATGCCGCTTGAGGGGAAGGAAATGGGACAGGCAGGTGAGTGGGGTGACACAGAGCAATCTCAGGGCTCCTCCCAGGCCTGTGTCTTCAGGGGCAGAAGGGGAAAAAAAAGGAAAATAACCAGGAAGAACAAGGAAAGGAAGTCCAGGGAAAATAGCAGGAGACCCAGGGGAGAGGGACCAGGAAGCTTTTTATATATTTTTTATTCTTACAAAGATTCAGAAGTTGACAGAGTACATAAGAGGTGCTCAATGACAGTCTCAGTCAGGAAATGCCTGATTCCACTGATTAAGGAACTGAACCTTCTTATCTTCTCCCTTTTAGAGCAATCAAGTTTAGACATCTACATAAAGATGTTTGCCACTGGGCAGGATCTCCCTACAGGGGGAACCAAAGACTCAGTGGGGCGCTCAGTGGGGCACTCAATGGGGGTGAGACATTGGGCAGCACTAACTGCTCAGCAAGGGAATCCTGTGCAAGGCCCAAACTGATCCCAGGATTTCCCATTTCCCAGCAACTGCTCAGGTTGGGTCATTAAGAATCTAGGATCCTGAAGCTACCACTGATCTGGGTATTATTAAACTCCTGAGCCTTTAAGAAGGAGTCAGGAAACTCTAAAGGACAGAGGCAGAGCCAAAGGGAAGAGATCCTTACCCAGAGAAGCCACAGTCCCATAATTCTCCAGCATCACATCTCTGTACAGGGCCCTCTGAGCAGGGGCCAGCCCTGTCCATTCATTCTCAGAGAAGTAGACGGCCACATCCTCAAAGGTCACTGACTCCTGAAACAACATGTGTTTAAGTGTACTAGGTCAATCCCAGGCTCAGGCATGCTGTAATGACAGACAGAATACCAAGAGGTACTGGCAGGGATATCTGCTGTGTTTATGGATTCTGAACATCTATGGAAATGCTCAGATTTTTGCCCCCTACTTACAAACATATAAGAGATCAGCCATCAGTTTTCTAGGGTCTCTTCATCTTATTTCAGTAATAGAAACATCCTTCTTTTTCATGAATCTCTGCCAAAGTTTTCTTTTCAAAACGACCCTCTGTGGTCCAGATCCCAACCTTTCTCCACAAGGGGTCCTCTTTCAAAGTTCACCACCCCTTTGTAACAACTGTATTTTACTGAGCTGTGCCAAGTTCAGTATATTTTCACATATTACTTAATATCTCACTATCTGTGGAGAAGGGTATAAATCCATTTTACAGAAGAGGGCACTGAGGCTCAGAGAGATTAATTTCCTCCAAAGCTACAGAGCTGAAACAGAACCCAGGTCTGTGTGACTCTCTGACTCTTGCATACTGTGTCAGACTGCTTTCTAATGTCACCACCCCTGCTGTGTAGGACCCTTCCTCTTTTTCCCTCCCGGCCACCAAAGTGCCTCTGACCCACCCAGATTACCTTGGGATAAATCCTAAACTGTGGCTTTATTCCCAGAGTCCTCCACCCCTATAAACTCTCCAAAACGTCCCACCCCACTCTCTTCCCCAAGGGCCTATCTCGGGATCTGTATCTGTAGGAGCCTTTGCATCTTCTCTCTTTTTATCTCATCCTCTTCCTCAGGAAACACCAACAGTGCTAACCTACAGCCATCAAGACTTCTTATAATTCCATCCACTACCTCACTCAGCATCTGTCTTTATATTACAGAGGAGCAATTTCTGCTCCATTCCACTGCCGTCCTTGCCCCACAAAGTCCCCACAGTGATTTATTAAGCACCACGGGGCTCAAAGGCTTTGGCGGCTCCCCTCTGCCTACCTAATAAAGGTTCCAATTCCTGGGCACCACGAGAATTCCTTCACTATTCAGAGAGCTAGTTTACCTGCACCATCCCCTTCTCTCTCACCATTCGGTTGGAAAACCAAACCCTCCTCTCCATGGCTGTGCCCTGGCACCTGCAACTTGCCCAGCCTGAACAAGTGCTCCCTCCTATACCTGTCAATTCCGGTTCATCTTGAACCCAGCTCAAACATAACCAGCTCTATTTAAAAAAAAAAAAAAAACAAAAAAAAAAAAAACAGGCTCATTGAATTTTGACCAGTTCTGGTCCTTCGCCTTCGCCCACACTAATCAGAGAACAGCGCTCCAGCGCTCGACTCCCGCCTGCGCGGAGCACGCCTGCTTCCCCTCCTGGGTGGGCCGTGGAGAGTGCCCAGTGCTCTGGACCCTGCCAGTCCCTCGAGGCCCGCCCTCAGGGCTACACCCCATTCCCAGGCCGCCTCCCGCCCCCTCCCCGCCTCCGATCTGCGCCCGGAGCCCGGCAGCGCCGAGCCTGCAGGAGCGCCCGCCCGCACTCACCGGGCGCGCCCGTCCCGACAACAGCTCGAGGACCCGGCGGAGGCGCGCTCCGCTCTCCAGGGCTGCGGCCGCCATGGCCCGGTGGCCCTCCGGGTAGGCGAGCACAGGGGCCAGCGGCCCGACGCAACACCCTAGTCCTGGGAGCCGCCGGATGAGAGCCGGGTCCTCGTCCAGCCAGCCAGCTCTGGACAGCCGCGCTCAGCGCCCCAGACCCCAACAGCTGGAGGCCGAAGCCGCGTGCCTCGCCGCTATGGCTTCTCTAGGACGGCGGAGGCGCCGCATCTCTGTGGTTCTCCTTCCCGCCCTGGGCGGGAGGAGAGAGTGGTCGGGTCTCCCCAGACACCAGCAGCCCCGCTGCACCGTGGGGCGCTGGGGGGGAAGCAGTTGGAGAAGCAGGCCTCTCTGGGAATCCTTTCTCGTGTTCCTGATCGCCCCTTCCTCTCCTCCTCGCTGCATCGTGATGCTGGCGGGAGGTAGCATGTTGACTGCAACCTTCTTCTACTTGCCTCTGTTTACTAATTTCTCCCTTATCCAAGAGCTGATTATGTCCGTGATTTTTTTCATCCTTGTGCCTCTAATGTTCACCCAACTGAAGCCAGAATTAGACAAGCAGTCTGTGTAGATAGGTAAGTCGAGTCAGGTTGGATCAAGGAGGTCAATTTTGAGTGAATCTTCGAAAGCTGGAGACTGTCCCCTGAGGAGTTGAAATGTTAATTTCTTCAGATCCCTTTTATGCGCCCTTATCAAGAACCTGCCCCTGCTCCAACCTTTGCCAAAGTAACCAGTCCCCCCTACTGGGAGCTATAAGGTTGTTTATGGGTCCTTGGCTACTCCATCCTGCCCTTCCCCCTTCAGCCCCCCTGTTTCCCACCTTTTGACAATCCCGTGGAGCATTCCTGGGCCTAATCGCAGGAAGGAGAAACTTAAGGAGGAAGAGGCAGGAGAATAAAGAAAGCCTAGGACACAAAAAGGGCAGAACACCTCGCTTTTGGGGATATCATGGCCCCCTTCTCCCTCCTGGAAGAAGTATATGTCACTCCTTTTTAAATAAATCCTGCTTTAAATCTTGCCTCCGTGTGCTTCAAACTTCAACATGTGTATTCAAACTTCAACATGTGTATTCAAACTTCAATCACCATGTTTATGGATAGATACAAGTATATAACATCAGGGCATGAACATTGCTTGATAAGTAGACTTAATTACAATACTATAAGAGGGACCAATTCAAATTCTCACCATTTGTTTCACAACCATGAGCCTCAGTTCTTTAAGCACGAAGGAATATTCGTTCAATAGAAGAAAACTAAGTGTGGAACCAGTTTCTTCAGTTGACAAATGTAAGGTCGAAAGAGAGGAAATGGATTGCCTAACATCACACAGCATGCCAGGAAGGTAAAATTTTAAACAGAATTGTGCAACAAATGAAGACCACCCAAATCAGAACAAGCAAACACTATTCATTCAGAACTTGCGACAGCAAGGGAGTCAGCCACCACCACTTGCATCTGGCAGACTGAAAATCAGGCAGAAGAGAGCTTTATAGTGATAAAGAGGGAAAACTTCAGGTGAATCCTGATTGGGACTTGTTGACCTGGAAAGCTAGAGACTCTCAAAGGAGAACCCCAGCATCTTAAGTGATTGGTTAGGGGAGCATATTTGACTTTCTCTGGTTGGTCCCAAGTTGGAAGCAGGGGCAAAAATTAAAGAATTTGTCAGCTATTAATCAAATCCTTGCTGTTTGGGGCTGATTGCGACAGGAGTCATTGTTTTTCTTCCTGGACTGGCTGATACAGGTAGTAGTTTGACTTCCTGATGTGGTTATTGGGGGAAAAAAAAAAAAAAAAGACTTGGCTTCATGGACTGGTTGATTCAAATTGTAGGTAGAGTTCTGTTTTCCTATATGGGCTAGTCATTAACCATTCATATAGCCAGGGTGAGCACAGTGGGAAGATGTCTATTTCACAGGAATTCAAGTGCACAGGCTGAGATGCTCAGGAGCCTTACTAGTTCCCCAGATTCTAAATACTTACCAGAACATGGGAAAAAAAAATACAGTGCAAAGGAAACCTTCAATGGGTTCCAGGGCTGGTTTGTTTTCAAGAGGGTACTGAGGAGGTTCATAAATGGACCCTGATAGCCTATGAGTGCTAGAAGGAAATATTGATTCTTACCATGGGGAAAATTACTAGGTAGATTGAATATGACAAAGGCCCCCATGGTTTTCTTGAGAACAAGATGGAGAAAACTGTACTTGGTGACAAAACAACTCAGAGGGTTTTAGTTCTGAACTAGAAACTCTTTGAGATGTATGATTATTCAGCCATAGTCCACCAGGAAGGTCTTCTCTTGCTATAAGCAGTGTTTTGGTTCAAAACTTTTGGAAAACTAAAGAGGAGAGGAATAAATAATCTCTTTTACTTGGCCATATTTTTACTCTTTCCACTATTCTTTCTGTAAAAACACACAGTAGCAGGCAAGGTTTAAAAAAAAGCCTTTTTTTTAAGATTCAAACAATGAATTATTAAAATAGATAACAAAAACTACTAGTCAAATATGCCAGCTCCCCAGGTGTTTGTCCTGGGCACCAAAAAGAAATATATTAGTCCATTTTACTATAACAAAATACCAGTGGAAGGCTACTTTATAAAGAAGAGAGGATTGTTTTAGCTCAGGGTTCTAGAGGTACAATGTCTAAAAAGCTTTGGTGATGGCCTTCTTTCTGGCAAAGTCCTGATACAGCTCAGAGTATCATATGGCAAGAAGAAGTGTGTGTGTCTGTGTGTCTAGTCTCTCTCACTCTTCTTATAAAATCACCAGAATCAATGATTAGCCACCCTAATGAACTTATCTAATATAATCCCTTTTCAAAGTATAACTAAACACTTCTAAATATCATAGATTAAGTTTCCATCCTCTGACTACCTCACAAGGGGGGTTTAAATTTCAACATGAAGCCTGGTGAGAGTGGAACAGAAGACCTGGAAGGAAATGGGAGAACACCTTGAAAATCTCCTCTCATCTCTCTCCTGTTCTGGAAGGATCTCAAAATAATCTTTCAAGACTTAAGATTAGTTGCAGTTCATACAAAAATGCCAGGGTAGCATAGTAGAAGCATTCCCCTGGAACTCCACCTCAACATTTACACAAACAGTTAATAATTCTTAGGCTCACAAGACACCACCTAAGTTCATAAGATATTCTAATTAATTTTACTGATAGGGGCTTTGATGAAATCCAATTCTCTTAAGCAATATTGATCTACTGTGACTACAATTATGATTTAAAGAGGCCCACTGGAGGGTAGACCACAGCCAGGCTTCCCATTTGGAACCATGCCAGCTAAATATGTTATCAATAGGTGCTGGCAATGGCACATGCCCCACCTGAAAATGACTAGTAGGGAATCCAGAGCAGTGTAACTGTCTACTATCAGTTGTGCTAGAGAATTTCAAACAGTAAGTAGTCTTTGAGAAAGCATCCAAAGAGACCAAAAATATCAGAATGAGGCTAAAGAGAAACTTGTCGATCTTCAAAGTTAAACTTCTTCTATTGTTTCTTGCTGAGAGTATTCCATCTGAAGTTGGTGCCTACTGGGATGATTCTGAAAATATTTAAGATTATTTGTTGGCCAGTGGTTGAGAGTAGTGGCAGAAGACTGGGTTAAAATTGACCAGATATCTTTCAGAAAATGGCTGAAGAAAATTAATGGTCCCTCCTTCTGATCCTGACTTCTCCAAGGCTGAAGATATTCTTTTCTTACCAATTAGGGTTGTTCCTTACCTTCCACAGCCATAATCAATATGACCAGTCTCTCTGATGATTGTTCCACCTTTTCCCTAACCCTCCTCATGGCTTTCCCACACCATACACTGGTGAAGGCGTTCCTGCACCTGCTGTCTGACAGGGTCACAGTGTGGGGGATGCTGCGTCAGGGCCGCACCATCTGGAAACTGAAACCATTAGGAATGTTAAGTGTTTGTTTACGATACTCATGATATGGATAACAGGGCACATGTCAATTGTATTGCCTGAGATTGCAGGAAAATTCCCAGAATGAGACTAAGGATATAATTGAGACACGCCATGAGGTGCTTTTCAATACCTCTCAGGAAACAAACAGTGGTGTTATTCCTCAAGCCTAAACAACAGAATATTTATCCCATGGTTAACAATTTACACTAGCCCCCACCTAACCCCATGCTAAAGCCACAACTTGCACAATAGCCTAGTTACAGAAAAACAATTGCTGTGCCAACAGTACAAGGACCATCTATGTAGTTTATGGTATCCTTCTTGAGGACAAGAGGCTAATAAAAATACATTCCTCCAACCAATAGACCCTCCTTTGCCTTAAATAGAAACCAATGATGAAAATGGAAAACACATAGTTAATATAAGTGACAAATGGATTGAGGTGTATAGCATGCCCTTTAGTTAAAAATTACTAAGACGTGAGAATTGGTGTGCTTTGACCAAGGATCAAGGAAGTTCTTTAAGAAAGCAATTGAACAGGTCGTATGAAAAAAAAAAAGAAATTACCTTGGAAATTAAAAATAGAATAATGTAAAATTAACATAGATATATAGTTTAGAGGCACTTCAGAGAGGTAGGCTTTTAAATAATAGACTTTCACTACTTTAAGTGTGTTTACTGAGATTTTAGTTTAGAAGTAAGAAAGCTTACCAATAATCATAAGTATGCTTTATTTTATTTTATTTTATTTTTGAGAGAGAGAGAGATAGAGGAGAGAGAAAGAGAGAAATTTTTTTAATATTTATTTTTTTAGTTTTCGGCAGACACAACATCTTTGTTTGTATGTGGTGCTGAGGATCGAACTCCGGCTGCACGCATGCTAGGTGAGCGCGCCACCGCTTGAGCCACATCCCCAGCCATAAGTATGGTTTAAAGTTAAAGATTAATGAGGTAATTATAGGTATGCTTTAAAGTTAGAAGTGAATAATAGTCAGGAGTCATATAGTCTAGTTGCGTTGCCTAGCACACAGTGATTGAGGTGAAAACATAAAAGCTTAATCATGATTGACTAAGGTTACAGAAAAAATATTTTGAACAATGTACTCAATATCTTAGGTAATCAATATATGTCAGAAAAGATTGTAACTCTTGAAAATTATGTAAATCAAAAAGTTTCAGGCTTTGAAGCTATCCATTAACTACCTAAAAAAAATAATAAAAGCTGTTAAAAAAGGTATAAAAATAAAGATCCGTCCAGGGGCAGCAGAGATTTCTTCTGGAGGCTGCTCATAACTTGCAACCTGTCAACTCTTCTTTCTCCGACGCCACTCCCCCTTCAGGACCCCTGGAATCCCACTACCCCCACTCCACCCACCAACGGGGCTGGACCTCGGCAATACACTCAGACTCATCCTTAGTTAGCTCGGGACTTCTTCTTTTTTTTTTTTTAAAGAGAGAGTGAGGAGAGAGAGAGAGAGAGAGAGAGAGAGAGAGAGAGAATTTTTAATATTTATTTTTTAGTTTTCAGCGGACACAACATCTTTGTTGGTATGTGGTGCTGAGGATCAAACCCGGGCCGCACGCATGCCAGGCGAGCGCCCTACCGCTTGAGCCACATCCCCAGCCCCAGCTCGGGACTTCTTGTGTATGTGCACACACCCACGTATATGTTGGGAATTCAACTCAGGGCCTCATGCATGCTAAGCACACACTGTACCCCTGAACTACACCTCTAGCTCCA